ATTCACAGTTGAGGAGTAGTTACATGATTTCAGGCCACGGAAGGTTTACTAAGAGACGTGGGCGTTGATTGCGGGTGACAGTAATCGTAGACTGCAGTGCGTGGGGCTGCGGGGAATACAGTGCAGAGGGCGACGTGTGATAGTTCACAGCTTCGGGTGCACGCAAGAGTTGATCCAGGTTTGCCCGACCCCCCTGTTCCCAGGGCGCTATCGGGCCGCGAGTATTTTTTTCAGCGCGGCACTTGACGGGAGCGCCTGGGAGCTCTCTATCGCTGCCCTACTGTCGCTCCCTTCCGGGGATTTCTCGGCGGCACGTGGAGGTCTCGGCCTGATAACGCAGCCCAGAGCTTGCCACGGGCGTCTTCGGGGCTGACGGCCAGTGCACGTGCACGCAGGGGGTCCCTAGACCCCCTTTTCGCACGTCGCACCGGACGATGCACTCAGCGGAAATCCGCAGACGCCTTCCGCGGCAGCTGACTGGGGGGGGAGGAGGAGGATGGGGGGGGTCTGTCATAGTGTCCTTGTCGAGCCAGCTCCTTTCGTGTACAGCAGCTGAGCGACGGTAACGTAAGCGGTTAGTCTTAATGCTCGAAACCCAACCTGGAAGGGTTTACGGTTTTATCAAAAGACGTCGAGGCTTTTTCTGTCAAAATTCATTAATTTGGTTATTTTTATAATTCCGGCAGGACATTAATTTAAGCACTACCTAGAATTCATTTACACGTATTTGAAGAGAACGTATTTTTAAGACATGTTGCTTTACTGGAGATGTTTGTTTTTTGGAAATGACTGGAAGTTCCAACGACAGACTGTAGTCACCAACAAAAAAAGGTATGACTCTTGCAGCAGCTCAGCTGTGTGCGTGCTCATTTTCATTTCGAAATTACCTTATCTTTGGTACGCCAAAGAATTAAAGTATATTAACTATTCAGTTTAACACATTCTTTAGAAATAAGTGTATTAAACAAGCTTAATTACATCATTTCTTCCCTCCACGAGTTCACTTAATCGATGTGCCTAAAAGTTAAGGCCTCCTGATAATTAGGTCAGACTAAATAGTCTTCATTTTTCTAAGGATTGCACCAGAATAACAAATTTTGTATTTGAAGCTGGGACAGTGGCAATGCAGCATAAATCTCACCGGAATTCCATATTCATTTTACGATAGTTAAGAGAGCTGTTCTCGATGACATCTTCTATGTAACAAGATAATTGTGATTGAGGAAGTCTACTTTCACCGATTTCCGCACGATTCGAAAGCGCTGAGCTGAATCTAATATCGTTTCCACGTGCAAAGTTACTCTTTATAAGTGATGATATCTAAGTTAACCGGTGTGCCCCGGTATATTGATCTCCCCCCCGCTCCACACCACGGACCCGCCCTTTTCCGCCCGGCGTCTCGTCTGGCAACAGTCCTCCCAAGATGCATGCGAGTTGTCAGTATTCCTGTTTTTTTACATGGGGCTTCTACCTGCCACTGAAAGGAATTATAGATTTCAATTATTTCTGTTACTATGGAGTGTCGGGAAGTCGTGTTTTCGCAGGGAAAAAAAGCTTAAACGGTGAGGCAAGCGACGAGAGAGTATTACTTGGAGTCTAAGCGATCTTTCGTGAGAACTCTTGGTAGTGTAACTTCAAACTGTTCCTACGCTCCAGGAGGGATAACTGATCCGTCTGAAAAACGATGGTTGAGGAAAACGGTGCGTGTATACGCCTGACGAGGCGTACACTAGACGCGCCGCTACGCAAACAGCCGTTCAGGCGCCGACCTTGCATTCATGGAAATGGATCAGTATTTCGTGGGAGCTGTTGGGACAGTTAATGCACATACTGTGCACGATCGTTCTCGGAAGCCATGAGGTTTTGCTTCTATCCATCTTCGGCCCAGAATTTGTAAGAAGTCCTGGTTACAACAAAATTGTTTTTCGTATTGCTGCAAGAGAACTCCAAAGGACTAAATTATGAAATAAACTTTCGAAAAAAAAAAAGGATGGTTTCGTTAAACCTGTGTGGCATGCGGAAAACGCTTCGCTTCGTTAGTCTACGCCCATCATTTTACTAAATTCCAATGAACCTACTCTAGTTCGAAGAAAGGAAAAATTATACAGATTTATCATGACCTCGTTGTCTTACAGGCGAAATTAACCCTCCTCAGGAACTCTCTGGGATATTGCAGGGCAAAACTGCGACCTTAATCCTAATTTCAGCGATTGCCAACCCGTACGTTTACTAAACTTCGAATTAGTCTAACTGGGGGATCATGGATGTTTCGACTTCAACAAAGCACTGACTTGGCTGATTTTGATGAAATCTCATTCGTTCTGTTCAAATAAAGTGACCGTCAATAAAATGAGGTTCTATTAACTAGGGACACTCGAGCGTTCGCAAAACCTACGTCGTTATAACGGTCACGTTCAATTTTACTGTCCTGGTGGTGGCCACACGAGCTCGATCATCGCCCGCAAAGGTTAGATCCGTCTCTCTCCCCCTCACTGTTTACCTCTCTGTCCCTATTCACAATCTGACGGCTCTCTGTGTCTCTCTCTAAGTGTTTCTGCTGTCTTCTCTTGTCCCTGCCGATCCTTTTCTTCGTGTCTCACTGTATCTCTCTCCAGGTCTTTCCCGTCTTGGTCTCTATTTCTCGTCTATCTCTGTGTGTGGTCTGTTTCTCTCTGCTCTCTCTCTCTCTCTCTCTCGTCTCTCTCTCTCTCTCTGCGTCTCTGCCTGCCTTCCTCTTTGTCTGTCTCTCTCTGTTTGTCTCTCTGTATCTCAGTCCTCTGTTGGTCTCTTTGTTGCTCGATCTGTCTGTGCACTTTCTTAGGCGCGCCAGTATTGCGTTGTCCTTACCTTCTCGACCTGCCCTGCGTCAAATGGCAACATTGAAGCCAGATGTGTGTGAATTCTCGACACAGGAGAGAGGGGGAGAAGTTGGTGGTTCCCCAGGGGGGGAGGTTGGGTTGGACCGGGTGACGGAGCGAGTGCGGTAGAGGAGGAGGTTTTAAATGGTGTGAATTGTGATAGTGGGGTTATGTCTTATGTGTGTGGCGCAGTTTCTGTAAAAGGCCCATAAGAGGTCCTTGGTGTGCGATTGGATGGAGGTGGAGAGCTGGAAACGGGAGGTGAGTGGAATTGTGTGCCGGATATGTAGCTCGGAGTGTGAGAGAGGGTATGAGAATGCCGTGAGTAATCGCTAATCGCTGCTGATGTATCGAAGTGAATGTATTACCAGCTCTATGTCCATATAATCTGCACGAGAGAGCTGACGTCCGAGTATGGTGGATATCGGAGAAAGGAAGGAATTGACTGACGCATGATGGTACTCGATATGGATTCCGAATTGCAATTTAGTAGATGACCTATAGTGATTTAGCGGGAGTCCTTAGTTGATTCACGAAAAGATGAGTGAATGTATTTCTTCCAAAATCATCTGGGAGAGCAATGTTGGTGACTGAAGCAAAGACCTAGGGCTGCGCGGATACAGCGGCGAACAGAGTATATTGCAACGTGTCTCACAAGTTGTCTCAGGTTTATGTTGTTCAGCCTATCAACTGCCTCGAGTCTGATACGAGCGCTAGCTCTGACATTTACGAGCAGGCCGCGTAAAGGCCGGGGCCGGGGGTAGGAGGGGAAGTGGCCGGGATAGAGCGAGGTCGGGAGGTGGCGCCCACGTGTAGGAATGTGGGGAGAACGCACGCATTGAAAGACTAATATACCACCTACGGCGGTGGGTTGTAGCAACTGACCATCTTCACGTAGATAGTTTGTGAAAAATTCGTTGGGTACAATTGTGCTAATATTACATACATAACGTCCTTAGGCAGATATGACGTTGGGAGATATTTACTGTGTGATATCACTTTTCCTGCTACTAGGCCGCCGTTCGTTAATTAGAGAGTGTTCTTCCGGCCGATCCACCTGGGTGTTCGACGTTGACCTATTTATCAAGAATAATATAATGATGAGGGTGGGGCAGACAATTATGGAGGTGGAGTGAAAGAGAGGGAAATTGAGGGTGTGGTATAAAATCAGCATTGAGATTGTTTGCTCAATCCGAGGTTTTCTATTTTGTCTCGGGGACAGATGCCCGACAGGGTATACGATTCAACAAGGGGCACTGCATAACTTACGATAACTTTTACTTTCATTCATTTTTCTTGACCAAACTCGACAATGATATGTGGGAGGTTGATCGTCTTGGCTTTGAACATGATTCTTCAGATGAATATTTTAATTCAGATGAATGGTGATATACTATGAATGTTAATTGGTATGCATACAGTATTGGCAACGTTCGCATGGCTCTCGCTCTGGAAGGTAAACGTGAGTTCTCAAAGAGTTTTGCATACGCTTCAGTTAGATAGGCGGGCAAGTTTGAGCGAGGAATTTCTGTAGGTTAGTTGGCAAAGGCCAGAGGGAGTTAATTTTTAGGGACAATTCACCTGAGGATTCCACACCTATTTACCAGAGTCTCGACTGCTCCAAGCTGACCTCAATAGCATTTCTCATGCGGAGTCCAAAAAACGCCGTTAACAACGGTTTAAAGCCGCACAGTCAACCTTGATGAAGTAGGCCCACCAGCCGTGGTTGTTATGAACGAACACGTAAATTTATTTCTGATGTTGGTATATACACAGGTGTTCAGAAGTATAGGCCAATGTGCTTGTGTGTTGCGGTGGGGTGTGTAGTACGCTGCAACGGCGAAATACATCTAAAGGACCCCATAATAAGATTATTAAAGTTGATGGTTTCGAAAGGTAGATAAAGTGTGGTACTAGTGTTCGCCCTATGAGGAATTGAAGCTCAGTGAGCTCCTGGGGGAGGGCAGGGTCCGCTAACTGACGTGAGTATACATGGTGACGGAGATAGAGGAACCCACTTTGCAAATAGTTCTCACCAGACGTAGGCTTAGGCTGCCTGAGTGTGTCCTAGTGGATTAAGTGAAAAGTGAGAGATAGCGTGTGACAGCAAATAAGTGA